TCCTCCAAAGGAAGGGAGCTCCACATTCATCCGGTACTCTTGGTCGTGGTGATGTCTGCCCTATCGGTGATAGTTACGACGAGGGTTGAAGCCTCTGCCCCGACCTATTCCATAAGGTCGCCCTCCTTCTTCTTCGCTCGAGACGTTGTCGTACCATGGTCCCTTAAATTAGAACCCTAGTCCACTCCATCACTAGATTCATCATGGGAGAGAGGTTGGTTGAAATGTCATTTATGATGTGGAGGGGGTTTGATATGGGGGAGGTTGATGCGGAGGGGGTTGATATTGAGGGGTTGGTTTGAACGTGGTTGATATAGAGGGGATAAACTGGAGGGGGTTAGGGATTGTATGGGGGTGGATGTTATGGTTGCATAACTCTGGGTTTGCTTAGGTGAAGACCATCGGTGAAGTTATTCCCATTGTTGAGGTGAAGGGTATGTCCTTCAATGGCTTTTTGAAGGTTCTGAAGAGACGCCTCCAACGTGCCAAATCTTCCATCCATAGAATCTATCCTCGCGAAAAGATCCTATAGAGAAATCTCCTTCTCACTGTCACCTGCCATTGTCGAGCATGTTTAAACTGAAACTCTTATACCACTTGACGCAGACGTAGAAACAGGGAGGTCGATCGGATATTATTCCGATGCCGACGAGCCCTAACAATAGGAGGTAGATAACAAGCTTGAATCCACAAGCCCTAGTTTTCCCAAGTTTAGAGAAGAAAACGATGGAGAAATTTCTCTTAATTCAATAATTAAAAAGTGATCATTGATTTACAAAAGGAACTAATATTTATAGCCAACTAACCTTAATCTAACTCTAATAAAAAAGAATCTCTAATCCTAAAAGGAAATAACCAAAAACAAACTCCTTTCCTAATTTGTTTGTCGAGTCAAAACGAGGCATGCCAAGTAGTACCACCTTTCATGTCGACTGGACATGAGTCGACTAAATATGTCGAGTAGTAATGCCCTTCGTGTCGACTGACATGTGTCGACTAACATCGCCCTTCGTGTCGACTGGGGTGTGTCGTCTCATCCTGTCGACTGGCGTTTTAGCTGCGGTCTCGTCCTGTCGACTGGGGTCTCGGCTGGGTTGCTTCGCCTCGAGTCGTCATCTTGACTCGTCGCCTCGAGTTGTCTGTTTGTCTCAGTTGGTTCGAGTCGAGTCGAGTCTCGTCCATCTGTTTAGTCGCCTAAACTGTCAACTCGACTCGAGTTGAGATGTTGAGTCATTGTCCGCTAATGTCGTCTCGGTCATGTAGATCTCCTATATCAATTATTATTTTAGGCATTTATGTAGTTTTTTCATCTTGATATAGAACACTTGCATGCATATATACATATATGCATACATATATACATAATCTAATACCACCCATTTAATTTAACCATTCACTCACTAAACTTATTTACTAATCCCCTTTAATCCTAAATTAAGGCACCCTTTCTCCATCCTAAATGTATCATCCCTACTATCCTTCCTTTATAAATCTCTATTCTCCATTGTTTTCATCCAACAACCACCTAAACAGAGAAGAAAAGGAAGAAGAAGAAGAAACTTCACCTCACTAACATGTATTCTACACCTCTCTTTATAGCACAGTCCCCTACAATTCCTATAATTCCTATAATTGTTGAACCTTCTGACTAAATCCAAAAACTTACAAAGCAGTTCCTTTAAATCCAAATATTTACAAAATAGTCCAATACATATGTATTTTTTTGTCAATGAAATAAACTTTTACTCATCACCAAACTTTGAAAATGTGTAGTACATCAAGATATCAGAATCATGTCTGATATGAAACTAAATCTGAAAGCAAATCACAATTACAATTTCTCAATTTTGTCTCTTACATGATCAGGAATATTTTTCATTAAATACTTTAGAAAAGATAGAGAACTTCACATCTCTAAATAGCTGATCAGGATAATGCATTTTCTGCAAAAATATCCTTAGGTTCCTCTCCTTCCATATCTAATATACAGTTGTCGATAGTGCCATTCTTTTCATTTTCTTCATGAAACCATCCTCCTTCAAGTTATTGCTATACCAGGTTATGATTTGGTTCCAGCTGCAAGATCTCCAAGCATAATTCAATCAATCCATCACTTTATTCCAAAAATATGCAGAGTATTGACATTCAAAGAACAAGTGCTTGTTGGTTCCCTCTTGAAGATTTGAAGCTGGACACAAGACAGAGTGGTTTGTGTTAATAATCTGGTGAGGGTAGCTAACCATAAGATAACTAAGTGCTTTGGATAGTGTAAGCCACCCCAAATTGAGTCTGACCAAGCTACAGGGCCAGTTGATTGATTTAAAGCTTGATATATGGAAGAAATCTGAAGTCTGCCATTAATGCAACAGTCACAGATAGTTTTAAGCAAATTATCTCTGCTTCCAAATCTTCTTAAATCCATATCTCTCGCCTTAATCAATTGTCTCCACATCCAAGAGTCATATTTCTTTGGTTGAACTAACAATATATCAGTTTGGCGAAGATAGTTTCCATGCATCCATTTAATCCACAACAAATCTTTTTTAATGTGTATCATCTATAGAATCTTTATTGTAGCTGTATAGTTACTATTCTTTGTAGAAAATAATCCTAGTCCACCGTTCTTTTTGTCTTTGCAAGTATCACTCCAGGAAACCAATCCAATTTATTGACCCCATAAGAAAGCAGAGCAAAGTTTGTCAAATTTTTCCAACACCTTGATCCGCAGAACATAATTGCTTGCCAAATAATTTTGCATCCCCAAAATAACTGATTTGATCAATTGTATTCTCCCAACATACAATGATTTTCTCCTGCTTTGCCAACCCTGGAATTGTTCAGAGATTTTGCTGATCAAAGGTGAACAATCCAAATAAAAAGTCTTTTACATATCAATGGAATTCCCAAATATCTCACAGGTATTGAGCCCTCCGATAAGTTCAAATAAGAATAAATATGATTCCTTATATTATCATCAACCCCACCAAGATATATAGAACATTTGCTAGAGTTAGCCTCCAAGTCTGACACCCTACTGAATTCTTGAAGACAATAGTTCAATTTACTTATTGAATTCATATCAGCTCTGCTAAATAGGAGAAAGTCATCAGCAAAAATCAAGTGAGTGATCTCCATGCCATCACATTTTAGATGAAACTTGAAGGAGCTGTCAGTTTTAAGTGCTTTAAGCTTCGTGGACAAATATTCTATACTAATTACAAATAGATGTGGAGATAGTGGATCACCTTGTCTCAATCCCCTATCTCCCTTAAAGTATCCATGTAATGACTCATTAAGGGATAAAGAAAATCTTGTAGTAGTAACGTATTCCATAATCCACATAATCATGTTTTTTTGGAAATCCCAGCCCTGACAACATGGCTTTGATGAAATTCCAACTTATTGTATCAAATGCTTTCCTCAAGTCTATGTTAAGAACTGTCCTTGGTGAAATGTGTCTTCTTCCATAATGCTTGATGAGTTCATGAGCAAGGAAAATATTGTTTGAGATAATTCTTCCTTTAACAAAAGCACTATGTGCATCATTGATCAGATATCCTATAATTTTCTAAATTCTAGTAGCCACAATCTTTGAAATAATTTTGTAGACACAATTGCAGCATGAGATTGGTCTAAAATCAGATGGTGAACTAGGATTGAGAACAGTAGGCACCAATGTGATAGTTGTTGTGTTAAAATCTCTAAGAAGCTTACCAGAATTAAAGAATTCCTTCGCAGCTTTGATCAAGTCATCTCCAATAATATCCCAAGTAGCCTTGAAGAAAGAGGCACTAAATCCATCCGGTCCAGGAGGTTTTTCATCAGAAATTGCATAAACAGCTTGTTTGATTTCATCTCTAGTGACAGGGATCCCAGGATGATCTTCTGGCTATTAGTGAGAACAGGACCATCAGAGATAACTGTAGGGTTAGGATCAGATGTGTGTATTGTAGTGCCTAAAAGTCTCTTATAGTAAGCAACAAGCTCAGAAACAATCTCAGACTGCATTTCAGTAACTCTTATTCCATCTTCAGAGTACAGGGATAATACTCTATTATGGTGTCTTCTGGCGGATTGGTATTGCTACAATTTGAGAGGTAAGGGGTGCAGGCAAAAAATCAAGCGGATGGCTCTCTCCTCAGCACTATATAGTATATGGATTGAGAGAAATAACAGAATCTTCAAGAACAAATGCAAAAATGTCAGCCAATTATTCAGGGAAATAAAGATCAACATACTGTATATAGTCCTCAACAGTCCGAATTTAGTTGATGGTAGGGATTGGATACTGTCATTGTAGTTGTAAGTAAATAGAATATGAGTTTGTAATCTCATGTTATGAGTATCTTGATGTACAATCATTTCATATTTGGTGAATGAATAAAGATTTTTCATTGACCAAAAAAAAACTCTTTACTTTCCTCTTCGAGTCACTTCATGATTTTGTCAAAAAAGCTCAAAAAAAACAATTATACTCATGATGCAATGCACGTGTACTATACTAGTACTATAAAAGAGTGAGAGGAACAACGGTGGATGGAAAGATGAACCTTGTAGCTATATCGGGTGTGAACCAATAAATAATTAAACATCATAAGCCATCCCAAGAAAAATTTTCTTTTTAATTCGTTGAGAACATCTTAAAAAGTAAATGGCCATATAGAATGAGTCTTAATTCCAATAGACAGGAATTGAAATATATGATTATTTAGAAAGTAATTAGTTTTAATTTGAAATATGACATAGTATAGAGGATTAATACATAAATGCCTTAATAGGAATAGATACATAGTATGTGCGTTTTGATTGTTTTTATTATTTATTTATTTATTTATTGCTAAAAGCACAAGAAAAGGGAATTTAAAAATTTAATAACAAAAGAGAGTTTTGTTTTTTGAAATTTATGGCCAATGGTCCACCAAAATGCAGAATCAAATTAATCAAACCAACCAAAATTTCCTACAACTTATTATTTATAGTACATCAGCTGAGAATTGAACCTGAGACAAAGATCTCCGGCTATGACAAACGGAATCATGCTCATCCGCCACCACCATCGGTCTACTCCCTCCTCCCCCAACATAACTCGTAGTCTCCCGTATCGGCGATCGTCACCGCTGACACAATCATCGGTATAACGGTGTCACGGAGTCAGCAAGTCGCAAATCGCAAAGTCATCAAGTTCACAACTACAACTCTGAAGAGTCTCATACTCCCTATAGTAGTACTCTCCTGGCGTCCAGTCCCTTTGCGGGCCCGCGCCGCCTGTATTGCTAACATAACAAGACCCGATCCCTATATGCCAGACTCCTCACGTTGGCTGCGGCCGGGGGAGTAGGGGTCAGCTTCCACGGACATGTGGGGCGCATCGCAGGAGTCAACTGACGGGGTCGGATGGCAGGAGGCTTGGCCTGGTCGCGAATGGACCTCAAGCGTCCCAGTGATGGAGGGAGGGTATCTTGGGGAGTGGGCTTGAGCGAGGGCCCGTGGGCGGAGAGGTGGCCGTTAGACCATGTAAGCTCTGCCACTTCATAGTCTGACCTGCTCATTAAATAATAGGTGGTTATGATTAAGTTGGAGGAAAAGGAAAATTTGTACGGAACAATTTAGATGCTAATTACATGGAGAGCTGAAAATGAGTTGAAGAAGAGGATGGAAGGAGATTAGGAGAAGGATTGGGAGGATCATCCACGTTCCAACTGGGATCACACTGCACCATTATTTAATCTCTATGCTCCCTGCCTCTCAGCCGCCCCCCCGCCCCCCCCGCCCCGCACCCCTGCCTAAAATATAAGAGTGAGAATGAGAATGATGTGACAAGTACTTAGCCCGAGGTGAAGATTCTATATGTAGCTAAGAGCAATAACGTGGATAGAAAAGTTAATAAATTATTATTATTTACTATGTCCTTAACATGTAGTTGGCTACTAATGATGAGTTGAATATAGGGCAAGCTCAACGTCAATTGGTAGGTAGTGCATAGTTGTCAACTAGGGAAAGGGAGGAGATATTTAGGGGAAGGAAACAATAGAAGACAGTTTATGACTACCCATCCACATAAACCCCCCCCCCCCCCCACACGACACACACACCCAAAAAAAAAACTCTCTCGTTCACCTTTCGTCTGCGCCTCATAAAACTGTCTTCTATTGTTCCTTCCCCTAAATATCTCCTCCCTTTCCCTAGTTGGACAAACTATGCACTACCTACAATGCGTTGAGCTTGCCCTATATTCAAGTCATCATTAGTATCCAACTACATTGTAAGGACATAGTAAATAATAATATTTATTAACTTTTCTTTTATATCCACGTCTATTGCCTCTTAGCTACTATAGAATCTTCACCTCGGGCTAAGTAACCTTGTCACATCATTCTCATTCTCACTCTTATATTTTAGGCAGGGGTGCGGGGCGGGGGGGGCGGGGGGGCGGCTGAGAGGCAGGGAGCATAGAGATTAAATAATGGCGCAGTCTGCCGATTCCAGTTGGAACGTTAGGATGATTCGCTCCCATCCTCTCCTAATCTCCTTTCCATCCTCTCTCAACTCATTTCAGCTCTCCATGTAATTCAGCATCTAAGATTGGTTCCGTACAAAATTTTCCTTTCCTCAACTTAATCATAACACCTATTATGAATGAGCAGGTCAGATATGAACTGCCAGAGCTTACATGGTCTAACGGGCAACCTAATCCCGCCCACGGGCCCTCGCTCAAGCCCACTCCCCAAGATACCCTCCCTCCATCACTGGGACGCTTGAGGTCCATTCGCGACCAGGCCAAGCCTCCTGCCATCCGACCCCGTCAGTTGACTCCTGCGATGCGCCCCACATGTCCGTGGAAGCTGACCCCTACTCCCCCGGCCGCAGCCAACGTGAGGAGTCTGGCATATAGGGATCGGGTCTTGTTATGTTAGCAATACAGGCGGCGCGGGCCCGCAAAGGGACTGGACGCCAGGAGAGTACTACTATAGGGAGTATGAGACTCTTCAGAGTTGTAGTTGTGAACTTGATGACTTTGCGATTTGCGACTTGCTGACTCCGTGACACCGTTATACCGATGATTGTGTCAGCGGTGACGATCGCCGATACGGGAGACTACGAGTGCATGTTGGGTGGAGGAGGGAGTAGACCGATGGTGGTGGCGGTATTGAGCCATGCACTTCGTTTGTCATAGCCGGAGATCTTTGTCTCAGCGTCATTCTCAGCCCTGATGTACGTATAAATAATAAGTTGTAGGAATTTTGGTTGGTGATTGATTAATTGATCTGCATTTTGGGACCATTGGCCATAAATTCAAAAAACAAAACTCTCTTTTGTTATTAAATTTTTAAATTCCTTTTCTTTGCTTAGCAATAAATAAATAATATAAATAATAAAAACAATCAAAACGCCACATACTATGTATCTATTCCTATTAAGGCCATTTATGTTATTAATCCTCTATACTATGTTCATATTTCAAATTAAAAGCTAATTACTTTCTAAATACATCATATCATTCAATTCCTGTCTATTGGAATTAAGACTCGATCTATATGCCGCCATTTACTTTTAGATGCTCTCAACGAATAAAAGAAAATTTCTTGGATGGCCTTATGATGTTTATTATTTATTGCCGTTCACACCCGATATAGCTACAGGTCATCTTTCTCATCCACCGTTTTCCTTCACTCTTTATAGTACTAGTGATTAGTACACGCTGCATTGCATTCGATGAGTCATAATTGTTTTTTTTGAGCTTTTTGACAAGCAATCATGAAGTACTCGAGAGGAAAGTTAAAGAGTTTTTTTTTTGGTCAATGAAAAAATCTTTATTTCATTCACCAAATGATGATAATGATTGCTACATCAAGATACTCATTACATGAGTTACAAACTCATTTCTATTACTTACAACTACCAATGACAGTATCCAATCCCTACCATCAACTAAAATTCGGACTTGTTGAGGACTATATTCAGTATGTTTGATCTTTTATTTCCGCTGAAATAATTGGCCTGACATTTTGATTTTGTTCTTGAAGATTCTGTTATTTCTCTCAATCCATATCTATATGAGTTGCCTGAGGAGCAGCAGCCATCCGCTTGATTTTTTGCCTGCACCCCTTACCTCTCACAAATTGTAGCAATTACCAATCCGCCAGAAGACACCATAATAGAGTATTATCCCTGTACTCTGAGATGGAATAAGAGTTACTGAATGCATCATGAGATTGTTCTGCGGTTTTTTGTTTTTTATTTGAGCTTGTTGCTTACTATTAGAGACTTTTTAGGCCCACTACAATTACACACATCTTGATCCTAACCCACAGTTATTCTCTGATGGTCCTGCTTCTCACTAATAGCCAGAGATATCCTGCGATCCCTGTCACTTAGAGATGAATCAAACAAGCGTTTATGCAATTTCTGAGAAAAACCTCCGTGGACCGGAATGGATTTAGTGCGTGCCTCTTTCTTCTAACGCTACTGGGCGAAATTGGATATGACTTGATCAAAGCTGCCGGAAGGAATTCTTTAATCTGGTAAGCGCTTCTTAGAGATTTACCACAGCAACTATCAATTGAAGTTGTGCTACTTCTCAATCCTAGTTCCACCATCTTCATTTTTGTACCATCTCATGCCCTCAATTGTGTCTACAAAATTATTTTCAAAGATTGTGGCTACTAGCATTTAATATAGCATATCTGATCATGATGCACAGGAGTGCTATTTGTTAAACGGAAGAATTTATCTCAAAACAATATTTTCCTTGCTTCATGACTCATCAGCATTATGGAAGAAGACACATTCACAAGGACAGTTCTTAACATAGACTTGCAGGGAGAAGCATTTTGCATACAATAAGTTGCGAATTTCATCAAAGCCATGTGTGTCAGCGGCTGGGATTCCAAAAAAACATGATTATGGTGGATAGGAATCGTACTACTACCAAGATTTTCTTATCCCTAATGAGTCATTACATGTACTTTAAGGGAGATAGGGGATTGAGACAAGGTGGATCCACTATCTCCACATCTATTTGTAATTAGTATAGTAATATTGTCCACGAAGCTAAAGCACTTAAAAATGACAGCTCCTTTCAGTTTCATCTAATGTAGATGCATGCGAGATCACCACTTATTTTTTGCTGATGACTTCTCTCCTATTTTAGCCAGAGCATGATATGCAGATCAATAGAGTAAAATTGAACTTGTCATTCAAGATTCCAGTAGGTGTCAACTTGGAGGCTAACTCAGCAAGATGTTCTTAATCTTGGTGGGCGTCGTAGATGATAATATAAGGAATCATATTTATTCTTATTTGCAACTTATCGCGAGGGCTCGAATACCTGTGAGATATTTCGGGAATATCCATTGATATGTAAAAGACTTTTATTTGGAGTGGTTCACCTTGATCAGGCAAAATCTCTGAACAATTACCAGCGGTTGGCCCAAAGCAGGAGAAAATCATTGTATGTTGGGAGATACAATTATCAAATCAGATTATTTGGGGATGCAATTATTGGCAAGCAATTATGTTTGCGCGATCAATTGTTGGAAAAATTTGACCAAACTTTGCTCTGCTTTCATTATGGGGTCAATAAATTGGATTGGTTTCCTGGAGTGATACTTGCAAGACAAAGAACGGTGGACTAGGATTATTTTCTACAAAGAATAGTAACTATACAGCTACAATAAAAGATTTCTTAGAGATGATACACGATAAAAATATTTGTTGTGGATTAAATGGATGCATGGAAACTATCTTCGCAAACTGTATATCATTGTTAGTTCAACCAAAGAAGATGACCTCCTTGCGATGTGGATGGACAATTGCATTAGGCAAGATATGGATTAAAAGATTTGGAAGCAGAAGATAATTGCTAAACTATCTGTGACTGTTGCATTAATTGGCAGACTTCAGATTCTTCCACTATAATCAAGCTTTAAATCAGATCAAACTGGCCCTGTAGCTTGGGTCAGAACTCAATTCTGGGTGCTTATCACTATCCAAAGCACTAGTTATCTTATGGTTAGCACCCTCACCAGTTATTAAAGCAAACCACTCTGTCTTGTGTTCCAGCTTCAAATCTTCATAGAGGGAACAACAAGCACTTGTTCTTTTGATGTCAATACTCTGCCATATTTGT